AAAAAAAACGTTTATTAACGAGCTGCAGTTTTATTACATCATGCGCTGGCACAGATGCAGTATATTAACGCCAGGGGTCATCAATAAGGTGCAGATTTGGTCCTCAATTTGTGTTTCCAACATACTTTTTCACAGCGCGCATCACGCGCTCAAACTCAACAAAAGTCAACAAGCAACAACGACTTATCCAAGTGACTGCTGCAGAACGCACACGAGAGAGAGACGAGGCAACGCAGATCGCACATCTCATAAGTGAGTGGGAATTTACGGAACGTGGCACTTGTGGGAGTTAACACTGTATGCAATACCTGCAACCTAACACCAAATTTCAGGCCGTGTAGATATGCAAGCATACTGTATATACAAATCATTTAGTAAGCAGAAATCCGAAATTTACCTTAACATATTAAGTTAGAGGAAGATGCGACTGAATTGATGCTTGAAGAATGCGCTTCCAGCAGCCATGATAAACAGTTGGCGGTTAAAGTTTTCTATGCACAATTTGATTTGACGAAAGTCACAAGACCTATTACTATCTATCCAATCACGTTGATGGATAAAAATAAAATTAAAATAAGCGTGTAACGACCACAAATGGAGGAAAATAGTGGCGTAAAAGTACCGATACATCACTTAAAATGTACTCAAGTAAAAGTAAAAGTACACCATTTTTAAACTACTCAAAAAAGTACAATTACTGATAAAAAAAATACTTAATTACTGTAACGTGAGTATTTGTAATTCGTTACTTCACACCCCTGGGTTTAACATGCAGCTGCTGATAACCTGGAGGTTTTAGAGAGAGACTCTCACAGACTACATCAACAGTGTTGAGTATGTGCATACATGTGCTTTCAAACAGGTCTTTGTTGTACTTTAGGATTATAGTCTTTCTGTTTTCTGTGTATTTCAGATGACAGCACTATTAGACAGACCTAAGCTTGATAAGGATTACAGAATTTTCAGTTGTAATGGAAACTGTGTAAAAATTCCCTGCAAAAGAATGATTAACTGGTCATTGTTTAGGGATGTATGATGAATTTGCTTTAATTATGTTGATTATACACTACAGTTCAAACGTTGCCAGTTGGTAAGATTTTTTAAAAGAAGTCTCTATGCTCAACAAGGCTGCATTTATTTGACCAAAAATACATTTCAGCATCATTACTGCAGTCTTCAATGTCGTATGATCCTTTAGAAATCATTCTAATATGATGATTTCCTGCTCAAGAAACAGTTCTTATGTTGAAAACAGTTGTGCTCCTTAATAATTTTGCTGAAACTGTGATACATTTTTTTAAAAAGTACTTGATAAGAAGGTTCGGAAAAACAGTATTTATTTGAAATAGAACATTATACATGGTTTTACTGTCACTTTTGATCAATTTAATGTATCCTTGATGAATAAAAACTCAACATGAAGTTCCAGGACAGAAGAAAGGTTCAGTAGCATGTGGTCCAGAGTCATTAAGGGTGTGTGTGTTAGTGATGTACGGTCTGAGAGTGTGTAAGTATAATAGTGACGATGAGTAGTCTAAGAGTTGTGTGTATTAGCGACGAATGATCTGAGCGTATGTACTGTATGTTTGTCTGTGTTTGTGTGTGTGTGTATTAGCATTGAGCTATCTGTGTGTATAAGTGTGTGCAGGTGATAAGTGATCTGTGAGTGTATTAGTGATGAACCATCTGAGTATGTGAGTTGGTGATGAGTGATCTGAGAGCGTAAGCATTATAGTAAGTGGGCTCATGGGTTTCATTGGGTTTGAGATCAGATCCACCCCTGAGAATCGACAAAAGCCGATCTGCAGATTGAATTACACTTTTCCCATTTCAACATCTGCTGGCTGCCTTCACCTCAGATGGTTGACGCACTAACACACACAAATGTACACTGACACATTACATTGCCTCATCTTTCATACACCGAGACATCACGTCTCTACCAGCGTAGGCAGAGACAGCAGTTATTTATGACTACGATGTGTCAACATCCAACACAAGCAGATGAGATAATCACAATGAAACATCACAACACTGTCAAGAACTGCACTGAACATGTGCTTTGATTCTCTCAGCTTCTTTGAAGCATCAAACCTGAAGTTTTTGTGTTTTCTGTTCCACTAGTGTCTGTCTTATCATAATCTCACCTCCTCAGAGTAGCCACCATGTTGAGGTCACATGACAGACTATGTTAGTAAACATATGGGCATATCTGAATCTCCAGAGCTGTTGGGGGCAGCAGAGA